TTTAAAGGATTTACTATTTAWATATATTTAGTTCAGTATTTATTTTATAATTAAAATTATATATACAGCACGCTCTTTCGTTGCTTATTTCCTCCCTCTCTCTCACACTCTCTCTATCTCTGTCTCATGTTTGGCTTTTGCATGTAAATTTGTGCAAAGGGCAGCGCATTACGCATACGCCACGTTGTGTTGGCATTAAGTTTTCGTTTGGATTTTGTTAATTTCAGCAGCAGAAGCAAAGCAGCTGCAAGTTGTGCACAATTTGAGTGTTTGGTGTTTTGTTTTAGCAACTGCAACTGGAAGTGCAAGTGCAACTTCTGCTGCAACTGCATGGGCATTGGCATCGGCAGCTGGCAAAAGTTGACAGCATTTACATTTCTTCCTCTTCTACTTTTTCTTTCTTCTGCTCCTGTTTTCTCCTCAAGCTACTCAGCATAAGTTAATTTAATGTTTGTCTTCTGCCTCCGATTTTCTTGCTGTTGCTGTTGTGTGTGTGTGTGGGTGTATGTATATGTGTGGGTGGTAGCTGAAAGGACAGCAGCAGCAGCAGCAACTCGTGCAAGTTTTAGATTTGCTATTTGGTGTCGTTGACTGCGAGTGCAACTGCAACTGCAACTGCTGGAAGTTGTATGTTTGCTTCATGCACATTTTGCATTTTGCATTTTACATTTTACATTTTACATTTGGCATTTTATGTATGCAGCTGTCGACGCTTTGAACTTTGCGCCCCAAAAACTATGCTGCAAAACATCAGTAAATACGCTTTTGCTCTTTCTCTATCCCTTTTTCTCTCCCTCTCTCTCTTTTTGCGTGTTTACGCGAATTCAAATGCGAACGTGAATGCGATTTGCGTTTATGCGTGCCACTTAAAGCGCGATAACAGCTTCAAAAATGCAGCTTCACGAACAAGGGTTAAATGTTGGTGAATTATGGCATAGCAAACAAACAGAGAGAGGGAGGGAGACAGAGGCTGAGAGAGACAGCAGAGCATAAATGATGCCAAAATGTGCTCAAACATTGCGAAAGTATTATATTTAAGCCAGGATATTTGCTTTAGATTTTAATGCGCAGTTTTCAATGTCTGCCATGAAAAGTTTATTAACAGTTTTTATTGCAAAAATGAAAAATGATTCCAAAGAAAGCATTCTCTATTAATCATTTCCTATTAATCTACTAGTCAGTTTTTCTCATTGACAGCTCAGCAATCATTGAAGTCAGGCGCAGCTTCACTGTATACAAATAGATTATTTATAGGACATTGTCTATTTTAAGCAAGGCTAAATTAATTAACAGTAACTTTACATTTTGTTCCCTTTACGTATTAATGCCAACTTACCTTGCTTTAGACTTCGATTTAATTTAATTTCTGACTACCCAACAAACATTAGATTTTACACATTATTATCAATCACTCACTTTGAAGATTATTAATTGACTAATAAAATAAAAATAAAATAAAATGAATTGCAAATAATATAATATAATATACAATTGTATAAATTGTATATATTATATACAGTTATATTCCCCTTTGGCAATTATGAAT